AATTTGAATCCATGAAGTTGATAGCTGTCGAAATGGAATTCATATATCGAAAACAGAATTTACTTTTGCTTGATTTGGGATTGAACTTTTTGATAGGCTTTGATAATCCTATGGTAGATTTTTACGGTTGGGTTTCTGGATAAGAGTCTTGATTGTTTCTGGGTTTTTCTTCCTATATCTAAATAATTGATGATCTCGTAAAAAAAGTTCCAAGTATAAAGACTTAGCTTTAAGTGCTTGAAAATCTAAAGAATCCCCGTGCTACCTCAGATTTCTTATGCTATAGCAATGAAATACATGTTTTTGCCCCCTCCAGCATGCTATCCGCGTGACTGGCCGGGTTTCATGCCCCACGGCGTTCAAGTAGAAGAGCTGGCGAGCCCTCTTCACTACTTTGCCATCTCTCCCTCTCAGTACACTCTCAACACATTAGAATAATCGCGCATCATAAATTCGGCAGTCGCAGGCCCGATTTGAATGAGCACGGAAGAAGCCTCTTTGCATGAGAAGCACGCCGCGATTGATTACGGTATCAATTCAATTTCACCCTCCACCCTAAGCTATCGCCTCATCCCAAGCGACTACCGTAGTCTACGATAACTCGTTATATGTTCAGGAAGCAGATGCAGCAGCACTTCGTAGAATTTACTCTTTGGCGCCTTGAGGCATTAAAATCAGTGACAGCATAAGTAAGGCCTTTGAGAGATTCTCAAAAGGGGAGAAAACGTTTTTAAAATGCGGACAATGTTTCAGTGTTGAAGCTCTGTCTTTGTGGTAGCACCTCACATTACAGCTATCTCTACTAATAAAAGTTCATTATACGTTAGAAACCCTTTTAATCGTAAACTCATCTCTAAATACTCTCCATAGCCTTCTTTAACGTCTTCGTTTACATCATTCATGATAAATCGGGAAATTCGTTCAGAGAAATTGGATACAGTATTCCTACTGTATGACCACAGTACCCACAATATTAGTCATCTTTCTGAAGACCATTTTGCAACAGCTTAGACAATTAGATTAAAAAGAACACTCGAACTTCATTTAAAAAATTATTTTGCTTATTCTCGTCGCTTAAATAATCCCGAATATATCAATACCGTAAATAATGTCTTTAACCGTCGTTTATTACGTCTTAGAGGTCCCCACTCCTCTCACTCCCCAAGACTGTCGCACCCTGCGCGTTCTATGTGTTCCTTTTATGTATGATCGGGTAATCTGTCACAGTGTTAGAGTGTTTAGTAGGAGTTCACGTTGTACATTGTCATGTTGTGCCGATGATGGGAAGGCGTTTGTGTGATCTGTCAAGGACACGCGTTTCGTATAATGGACTCGCACCCAATTACATTGGTTGGGGCGGTAGGTAGACGATAGACGATGACGTTAGGGTACAGGAAACGGTAGCACGGATAGGCGTAAATCTTCGGCAAGCATCGTGATGTAAGGCGAATTGGATTTCTGCGCGTGTAACGCATTATGTCCGATAATATGCTAAGATTTATCTAATTTGGGTGATTATATGATGGTTTT